CGAAATTTCTATAAAGGTAATAAAAAGCGAATTAAATAGAAATTTCAACCATGCAAACTGATCGTAATATCTAACTATCATGCTTAAAATCGTATCGATCATACCTTAGGTTCTTTTCCCTCTCTATATTGTTATACATACACATCATTTAGAATTTAAAAAGCGAACTAAATTACATGTTGACATTTATACCAATGCTTTCACCAAATAACTTTACCACTTAAAATTAAATACAAGCAGGCTGACAACACGCAATGAACTTACAGAAATCCTTTTTTTGTAAAAATTACATAAATCAGTTTAGCTATGAATTGTAGATACTCTTTGCTGACAGGTATTGAACAGTACAAAATATCTATTATTTCTGATTATCCCTTCCAACAAAGTGATTTTGAATCATACAGTCTACTAACTAATACAATGTACCTTGATCCACTGAATTCGATCAATCAGGTCTAAGGACTGAACAACATGACACTGGTGACTGCAAAGTTACCAATTAGTGCGAATGTCTGAAATCATGGAGTTTTTTTGGTCACTATAATCTTGTATTTGCATCACTGAATCTGAATCATTCACATTGTGACACAAACTACAAAATCAATTTCATGTAAATTGTGATCACTGTTATAAGATTCGTCCACAATTGGGTAGCATCATTGTTTTCAATGTATGATTTTGAGCAGCAGATTAGTGGACTCTAATCATTCAACTTTTACCCATTTGGTTACAAGTTCGAGCCTCGTCCCATCTTCATTGATTTAACGTGACCAGGTAGTACCATCTACTCTTACACAATAAATAATAATAGGATCTGAATATAAAAACCTTATTTATGTATTTATTTAATAGATTTACTCCCATTACGCAACAGTCACAAACAGGAAGTAAGCTTGTATACAGTCATATAGTTATACTATTTCATACAAAGACGTGATTAAAGTTGCAGATTATTTGACCGCTTATTTAACCAGCTAGGCTATACACAATCAAAAAATAATGAGACAACTGATATTGTAAACACCAATTCATAGTGGTGAGAAATGAACCGATTAAAACACATAAGACAGTAAACAACAAAGAAAAGTCGTACGAACACACAATATTTGAATACACCTATTAGGTCATAGAATAAATAATTCAGTGGTGAAGTGCTCTAACATGGCAACATACAACGCTAACACAATCTTACATGAGTAAACAGATTTTATTCACAAAAACACTAAGCCAGATAGCCAGGCCCTAACTTTATGTGTATGGAAGACCTAAGAAACCTATATCTTCTGATTGTTTACTTATTAAATGTCCAATTATGTTTACTTTTCTACTTAATATTTGGCGTTTATGCATATTATTTTAATAAGGAAAAACACATTTTGATGGAGATTTGTCTTCTCTTGTGATCTATATTCACTCAATGACTTATATGGCCAGTTAGTTATTATTTGAACATTGTGTTACTGAGTATCATTACAGATCAGCATTTCCCTTAGTAAGTAGCTGTATATTGTCAAAAATGACATAATTCCAAAAACATATATAAGACTGGATTTATATTGTTTAAATTTTTATGGCAAGTATAACACTATTCTAAGCTAAAATGTAATAGTTTATGTATTGTAAAAGTAGCCTCTCGTTAGGACTTTAAGGACACTTGTGTTATGATTAGGAATTTGACAAGCGAATGAGTTTTGAAGTGTCAAAATGAATCAACAGAATGTCGATCGATAAATGGACTGCTGCTTACGGGGCATATATTGGAAGACAACTGTCCAGTAGAAGTATTTTTCTCCAAACAAAATAAGAATATATACAAAATATTGAATATAGAAACAAGCATGATCAGAAATTATTAAATAAATAGGTGGTAGAAGGATATGGCAACTAAAAGCTAATAGCTCTTTAAAGATATGATCAGATTGTTCGAAATGTATTGCGTACATATACCACATAATTCTGATAAACTTCGTTTTCTCACTGCATTATCAAAGATATTAACGTCTAACTATCGAGCTTATTCCTTTCTCCATCATTATTAACATACTCATGATTCCGTTTGGTAGCACTGGAGATTTATTTGCATTTGAAAATACTTTTCACTAGACTGAAACCAGATCAGTAAGGCGTACTTAATGGTTGCCGGTATAATGCGAACTAAATTGGACCTGAGAAATTCACTAAAAACATCAAACTGAATGAAATACGTCAGTAGAGGAAAGAATGATAAGGTATATACCATAGCAAAGAAATAGATCTAACAAAACACTTTCCAGGCAGAATTCTAGTCTGAAATTTGGATTTCAAAAACCTCAACGTCAAGTACTTATGAATGTAGATTGGTTTTAGTGAACTTTGTGGATGATAAGAAATACGGAATCAAACGTCATATTTTCCGATTACCCTAGGTGATAAGAATATAGTTGGTTCATCCCGTTGTAGCGGACGCTACTAACAATATTGCTTGTAGGTAGTATATAGCGGGACGTAACCTCGAAGTCATCACAGTCGTCAGACGGAATGGAGAGTTTCAGTATATCGAAAGCAGGGCTTTGGCAGAGCACTTGATGACCAAACAAGAAGACAATTTGGATCACAGAACACATTGCGAGATGCAAATGGATGTTCGAAAGCTATGTATACGTATTACGCAAACGCTTTGTAATTTTTCTTACTAAATAAGAGTTCTACCCATTGTCTTGATGTACATTTGGTGTAGCTGCCAGGATGTAAAACAAGAATGTATATGTGTATGAACAACAATTAATTTGTATCTCACGGAATGGTCTGCAACCCAAACTGTCTTCTTGTTTGGTCATCAAGTGCTCTGCCAAAGCCGTGCTTTCGATGTACTGAAACTCTTCATTCCGTTTTATGAGCGACGACTTCAAGGCCACATCCCTTCATATACTACCTAAAAGCAATCTCGTGAGTAGTGTCCACTACACTAACACTTACTGAATCATGTGAACAGATACTTATGAGGTAGACAACAGGCTCGAATAAACAAGGAGGATTGAGAAACAAAATTGAAATAAAAAGTTTTCCAATGAAAAATTGCATGTGATAACTTATTAGAATTATACTTATGTTGTAACAACGACACGTGAATACAATGTGTTTTTGTGACCAAATACAACAGAGACGTAAAATAAACAGAATATCGTGATATACAGTACCAAATCATACTTATTAAGAATGATAGCATCACAATAATAATAACTGACAGTAATAATGATAATAATTAATATTATTATTATCATTGTGATTTAGACATAAACATGTAAACAAATTCTGCTGCCTTTCTTGACGAAACCTATTCAATACCATATCGATTTTAATGGTATATTGAACATCAAATTGTAAATTTACTGGCCTTTTTTAGTAAATTCCATGAAAATTATGGGAACGATTGTGATCATATTTATCAAAAATAGTAACTCTAGATGTTATGACTTTAAGCCCAGCTAATCATCACATGATTTATTCGCCAATTGAAATACGACTTATTCAATCTTAGTACTGTGCCAAACCAATGACGTTCGACAGGTATGAGCAGCCTAGAGTCCTTATTGGTCCTTTTTCCTCCTAGTCCTCATAATTCAGTCCAGAACACCAACACCAATTTCCACTATGACAGTCATTTATTTCAAACATACTTGGTTTATATACCAACCAAACAGACCATATCACACCATAAAATAGGAAATAGCAGTTATACAAGATCAAGCCAAAAAGTGGCTGTGAACGTGGGAGACTGTAATCAATAAATTGAACATAATTTAAGAACGGTAAATCGTACAGTGATAATCTATAGGTCAAAATGAAGCTTATAATAAGATTAATATAGATATACATAATCTAGTTACTGAATAGTCATACAATAAGAATATATACATAATATTAGTCCATTAATAGGTCTCGGAAATTACCTATAATTTAATCTTCACTAAGACAACACTAGGATAGTTCAGAGAAAAAATATACCTGTTTTTTTCAACTAAGGCATTAATAATGCAGTAGAAAAATAAACACTTCATTATGGTGAAAGCAGAATATACGGTAGTTTCTAAAAACAAACTTATCTGCAGTATGAAAATGAATAAAACACGTTTATAACTCTTAAGATCAGTTAACTAGAATTGACAAATTTACTACACACCAATACTGATGGATACATAAGCACTAGATGGCCGTATTTATCCTTTCTTATATACAAGGAAACAGCTTACTTAAATCATTATTTATCCATCAAATATTAACGTACAGTTACAAAAAATAAAATATTTGAGAATATTTCCGGCTCAGACGAATGTTTTAAGTAATGTAGTTATCCGAGTAAGACGAACACATTGAGGAGCTTTCACTATCGTCCTGGATAACGACAACAAATAGAAATAGCGGTTGATAATATTTCTTGCTTTGAAGTGAGTACAACAATTTTTAAAATTTCACTGAAATCATGAACCGATCTAAGTTAGACAACGTTTTCGAAATATACCATTCAGCCAATTAAATTCTACCTTGATGAAATGATATCCATTTCGGACTTCATTAGTATTGATTTTTTACCTATCATTTTAAATCCAAAAAATGTTTCGCCTAAATTACGCCCAAACTATTTGACGACCTGCTGTTTCCCCAAAACTAACTACTTGTGGTTACATTATTTTATGTGTAAAAATTAGAAAAATGGAGCCAATTTTCTAAAAATCTTCGATCTTGGATCGCCTGAATTGAGTATAAGTTTGAGGTCACTCAATTGTGAGTGGGACAAAACCTAAGCTTGTCTTTAAATAATAAAAAAACACCAAAAGCGAGTGTGTATTATGACTTCGTGGTTCGTATTTCAAAATGTTGTGTGAACCAATAGAGTTGGTTTCTGAAATAATTTTATTAGTAAAATAAGGAGGGTATAGTCTATACTCGGTATTTAGGACATCCTAAAAACCCAAATCGTGATAAAAATTTACAAGGATATAATAACAATGGAAACAAATTACCTCACATGGTAAATTACCACGTTCCAAAATGTATAAGTGATGTACAGCAGTTTGACGCTGGTCAAACGGATGATTAGCAATACGAAATAAATTGAATGAGTGACCCCGTTTACACGCAGTGAACAACAGACTTCCAGATGGATCAAACTTTAAGAGAGCAACACCAGCCCAACGATGAGCCTGAAATGAAAAGTAGTTCGGGACAAAAAATGTTTTAGAAATTAGAGAAGAAGGAGAACATTTACATTGAGCGATCAATGAGTAATAACAAATGTTAAGTAAGTGTAGTTTATTATATATTTATTTTAACACAGATATTGGTACAAGGAGGCACCAAATACATATGCGCCACACAATCTTATTTGATATGTGCGAGGGCTGTGATACTGCCCGAGTGCCCAAACCGAACCATGTGGTTTTCTTAAGGGGCCACACCCGGAGCCTTCGACCTGAAGGTCTGATCCACAAGGCAGTGAAGCATTCTAAGGAGATGCAGTCCCATAGAAGCCGGTAACCAATAAATGGTTCATACTCCACTTATTCCTTCAAAATAATGGAGCCCATGTGCACCATTGGTTTGGAATCAGGGTTTTCCAACTCCCTAGGTGGAATCACCGTGTCCATCGGCCCGGTTAAAGTGCCGGACATTCGCTTGTCGTCCTCTCATTTTCGTAAACAACACCCGTGGTGCGAGAAGGCAGTAAGACTTCCCTGGCAAAGGCTATATACGTGTGGCCATGTGAGAGCATTTCAAGAGGGAGAGCGGACTCTCCCCACTCTCGGCCGTACCAGGGCATTTGGGAGCTATTGCTGATTTAACTCTATCAGGAAGGTTCTAATCCTATAGGGAGAATCAATGCCCTCAAGAATACAAGTGGTTAGGGGCTTAAAACAAGGAAGTTTGTGTCAGTGAAACGAAACGAAATTTTCAAAACCTTCAGAAATGTGCAACTACATTTGTTAAAAATAGCAATAAGGTTTTAAAAAAATATCAGCAACTGGCGATACAGGGAGTTTATCGAAATCCATATCGGTGAAAATTTGGGTAGTGTCAAAACATTTAACAAGGAAATAAAGTAACAGCTTCCTCATATGAAAATCCATTAATATAAATCACTAGCATGGTACAGATTCGTGCACTTGGCTTTAAACTACATTTGTATAATCTGACAGATAGTAATACTATTCAGCTCCACAAACCAAAGTGAATCGGGGCTCGAACTCGCAGTCTTTACAACTGAAAAAGAATTCATAGCAACTTGACTATTATACCACAATGCTTCGAAACTACGAAACACATAAGATATATCTGTCTGTGCAAGTAAAATGATAGTCTGGCCCTCGAATGCTCTGGTACGCTCGAGAGTGGAGAGAGGCAGCTGTCCCTCTCGAAATGCTCTCACATAGTCACGCTTAAACAGCCACTGACAGGTAAGTCCTACTCACTGCATTCTCGTGGCACTACTGTTGTTTACGAAACTGAGAGGACGAAAAGCGAATGTCCGGTACTTTAACCGGGTTGGTGGATATGGAGGATCCAACTAGGGGAGTTGGAAAACCCCGATTTCAAACAAGTGGTGCAGAGGGTCTCCAGAATCCTGAGGGAACAATAGACATATGAACTTATTGTTGGTCACCGGTTACCATGAGACTGCATCTTCTAATGTTGCTCCACTGCCTTGTAGATTAGAACTCTAGGTCAAAGGATTGGGGAGTGGCCCCCTAACAAAACCACCTGTCTTGGTTTGGGCACCCGAGATGCATCCAATTCCTCACACAAATGGAATGATTTATGTGGTATATATATATTTGGTGCCTCCTTGTACCAATGTTTGTGTGTTTAAGTAGGTAAATAAATAAATAATCGTCTAGTAAAGTTGCCAATGTCATACTAGCACGTAGGCCGATTAACAATCCCTAAGATTTTGTATTTTATCAACCATCCGCTTTTATTTGGTGGACAGGTATGCGAATAAATAAGCATGTCGACAAAGTTGTATTATCTCACCCCAATCAAACTAGGAGTGAAATCATCCTGATAAAATAATTACTTTTACCTTGGAAAGTGCATAAGCAAGATTGTGGGATTTAAGATCCAACCCATTATAAAAATCCCTAGTAAACAAAACACAGTACTGAATAAAGAAGTTATTATTTTTAATAATATTAAAAACAGAAGATGAATTCTTACAGAGGCTGGTGGTCACAGGAGAATTCAGTCCCAAACCTACTGCTATGTTCGTGATATTATGATATCAATTTGGACGGGCGAACGGGATAAAAACCAGCGACCCAATGACAGGACGGAGCTAAGCTATTTCTCTGCGCTCCAGCCCCACTAACTAGAGAAAGAAAACCAGATTCAGCCAGGGAAATATATAATTCCACACGCACACCGGTAGAACGAATGATAAGCACATAACTCATGACTATTTATACAATACAAAAATGTCCTTGAACACCATCATAAAATAGTGTACTAAAAGAGGAAAGGAAATAATGATGCTAAGGTCCTTCCAGACAGGAAACACAAGCTGAGGGTAATAATGGGCGCTTTTTTAGTGAAACATATTAGTCCAGAAGTAAGCGAATAACAACATATCTATAGTCTTACACTTACTTTAGGAATGAACGCATTGCAAAAAATTCTGGGAATTACGTGAAAGAATACTTAAAACATATATCCTAAAGAATACAATAACCTACAATCAAAAACGTGAGATTTACTTGATAAACGTCTAATGAGAAATAATAAACAATGATTGGGCCGTTATTTATACAGAATTATAAGCCCAGAATATGAAATGTTTCAGCACTGCCAAAGCGTTGGAATATTAGACTGAACAAATTTCAGAATCTTGGAATAGTTGTCATGGTAACGAACATACGATAAGATCATATACCTTAAACATACTTTATGAAGATCATTTTCATGATTAAAACGACAAGCAGTGAATGTTCATTTTGTTCAATAACTAAAACTAATATGTTAATTCCATGGAATTTTATTTTCTGTAAAACTACTTTGAGCCTGAATATGTTGCCGTCCTACTAAAATAATCTTCCAAGTAATCAATTCGTGTACTTGGATTTGAGTCACGTTTTTTGCGTAAAAGCTAGTAATACTGTAGTGAACGAACACTCAGGTGGGGAAGACCAATTTATTGCTTAATGCAAAACTACAGAGTGATTCAGTAAAATGTGAAAATCACACATCAAATACATCATTTGCACATCACCTTTGAATTGTCTTTGATGAGCTTCATTGTTCCTATATTCCCGTTGTTATATTTATTGCTTTCACCCTTCTTTTCATCTCAACCTTCTTAACTTCCTGCTAGTAGACATTCCAATTCTGACTGGTGATACACACTTTATATTTACAAACATATGTAGCGCATACCACAATACTACCTAGTCATGTTAACCAAAGAAGGTGGAGCGGGCTTCGAACCTGCGACTAGTTAAAAGTGAAATGATACAATCAGCAAGCCATTGTTCCGTTTCTACTATTAACTAGAGGTGTAAATGAATGGCGATCATAGTGTTGATGTTTTTATTATGGAATTTTTTTAATATCAATAGTGTTATTTTCAAGAAATAGCCGCACGTAAACTGAATTCTTCATAAGTATTGGATTTAAATGATGAAATCACGGTAAATAAATTTCGGGTAGTATAAATAAAAAAATAGATCGTGACCCCTAAACCTATTTATGTGTCACTGAAAGGAGTCAGTGTGACTTTCAATCAAAATATTAGGTTCTGTGAAAGATATATGGCTTGATGATGAATACAAATATAAGAAATGTGTAATAATGGCACTGTTGCAACTAGGAGGTCTACATATTAATTAAGCTTCCAGTTCCTCAGTAATGATATTATCTTAATCTAGAAAAACACTTCTGTGACCTGTTGCCAAATAGTGGTCTAGTAGATGATTATACTAATTTGCATTGATAGAAATTATCACGCAGTTGCAATTATGGATAAAAAAACGACTGTTAGTTTAGATGTATAATAATTATTGATAAGATATTCAACCACTATATCACCTAAACAAGCTTCTTGCTCTGATTCTCATAGTGGTAGTTTTATAACCAGGAATCTTCATACTAATATTTTTGATATAAACTGGCGAAATTAAGTTATATAATCAATTGAGACATGTGCAAAAACATGTTTACAAAAATACATACCATGAAATGAGCAACAATGGCTCCCGACCCACCAAATTCATGAACATTCAAGTATTTCACTCCTGACATTTTAATACTTGTGTGTTGATTATTTGGAGAGCATGACTGAGCTCTTTGATTAGTACTATTATATTGATTTGATGAGTCAGAGAGATTTGAACCAGCAGAACATAAACGAACTGATGCCGTAGAATCTTCAAGTTTTCGCAAAGTCGCATGTTCACAATTTAATGTATGCAAATCAATTATTGTTACGTAACCGGGTGATATGGATGAGTTATTCACCTCTGAAGTAATTAGACTAGATCCATGTTGTGGAAACGAATCTGATAAAGTTGTTTGTGGGACTTGATGTTGAGAATCAAGATGATTATTACGCAAATTTGGTGGATTCGGACCCAATGAACTAGAAACAACTGAAGTAGCCAGGGCCGAAATCCCTTCCCAAAGACGCTATAAGAATATGTAAGGTATCATACACATCCAAAAATTAATCAATGTTGAAATAAAAACAAACAAGAAAAATGCAAAACAGTCGCTATCATACAATTTCCATACGGGCCGATTACGACACAATCCTATACACCTAAAGGAATCTACTACAGTTTGAACAATCACAATGTTAGAACTAGTTAGTTACCCATTACTTCTGGTCACTATATAAAACTGGCAACAGCTGAACCTAATAGATTACAAGAAACATAAGAACAATAATATAAAGCTTGGGAATAATGCTAATTACATGTGAAACTACTATAATACCAACAACTTTAATCGTAAAACACGCATTATAATTGGCTGGTATTTTAAAAGAACGTTATTAGCTTCATCACACTATAACAGACAATTATCGGATATATTTTTGCTCTAAACATATTCAAATGTTAGATTACGAAGGTTAACGCTATTGATACTAGACAAAATAAAAAGATATATGTCTTAAAAAATCATTTTCTAATGCATACCTAAATGCGCCTCAATAAGTCGATCGGCTTGTATTATTTTGTGTCATACCCAACTCAACAGTAAGTTTGACATCAAATAAATGCTTTCTTTACTTTTGTAATTTTTAGAGTGCAATTGAGAATTAATTTTAAAAAAAAATTGATACACTTATTTGTGAAAGAATTGAAATGAACCTATCACAATAGAACAGATTCATCTATAAAACCATATGTGATATCAACAAACAGCATAAATTACTTTGTTTTTTTTTAATATCTAACGAACACAAACGATTAATCTAATTTTAACACAAGAAATATTTGATGAGATGCTTACACAGTTTGTTTATTTGATGCCATTACTGTCTAAAACAATGATAATTTTTTATGTAATTCGTACCATCTAGTATTTGTGATGTATGTTGAGTGTGTACGGTGTCTAATTTACAATAAGACATTTTTTACGTACAAAGTTTGATCGATTTCCAAAACATTAATATTTCTTAAATAATAATCATAACAAAATACATAAACCTGAGAGAATAAACCTTACAATAATTCAGCGATCATCTAAACAGTTTCAAGTGGGATAAAATGAACATCCAATAAGATTCAATTTTCATGTACCACCCAGCACTGTTGATAATAAAATTGTGATATTTGCATAAAGAACTTCGTTCAGTCATCATGTGATTTGAAAGGGGGATAACACAAGTTAAACAGATAAAGTAATCAGCAGTATATAACAGTACTTCTAAACTGCTCATATTTTGCTTTCACGACGTCGTCTACTGATTAAAAGTACGGGTCTATGTACTTGACTTTCAGTCACATTACCATAGACAAAATTGAAAACAATGAGTTTGATACGAAATGGTTTTGTAAAAATATATGCATTTTAGATAATTTTTCATCTGTTTAGCCAATAGTGTGATAGGAAATAACATATTAAAATGGAAACAAAGTCGGAACATTGCAGAGACATTTGTAACTTAGCCTTCGCACTTAACAGTTTTATTTCAGTAGCATTTTTGATGAATCACCAAAATATCTTGGTTATATGAATGTATTATTTTAAACAACAACCACAGAGTTAGAAATAATTTTTTCTCCACATGCAAAAAGCACGTTAGTATTATAGTGCTACGGCATTTCAAGAGCACTTTTCAAATAACTTGATACCGATGATTACTTTAAAAGGGTCTTAATATAACTCCTGTTCAAAGCTAACCATAGTCTATTTCATATATTACTACTGAATCAACTGAGATAAAAAAAAGCCAATTGGTTTAATATTAACCACAGTGATTCATTCACTCCCTTAACATAGATTAAATACTGCATGTATCGTCGATTTATTTCTTCTGATGAGTTTACCAGCCCCTCAAACTTTGAATATGGTGATAAGATATTTGAAAAATCCAAAAGTAAGAAGTATTTAGACACACTAACAGATTATGATCAAATTAAAGAAGTTCCCTTACCTTATTCATACTCAATACTGTTGTAGTTAAAGGTTGTGACTCATCTGTACTCGCGTCGCCACATCGGGACAAATGTTGGTAGACAGGCTGAAAATCAATGCGTAACAAAAAATTACTGAAAGTTTGTAAGGCGTGAGTCTTAAATATTTATCGAGAAACGGAGTGTTCTTTATGTATTTACTGAAGGTAAGCTGAGTAATTTTGACAGGTTATATTCCACGACTTTGTACTCCAATTAAAGAGTGAGAAAGAGAAAGAGGTGCTCAAAAGTCTAACTTTGGATTGAATACATACTTAAAACATAAATTCTGTAAGTGCCCCTAGTGTTCCAGATGATGCAGTTGATTCTTTAACAAGTGTCATGCTTAACCTTGAAATTAGCCTATGGTAACGCTTCGGTTTGGTGTTTTGTAGCGTCATAATACTCGGAATTCCTTGCAGTAAATCTTTAAGTCTAAATGAGGTTAATTAATTATTTTCCATTGCAATTACGCTTTATATAATGCTACAGTTGTGACCAACGACTATAAAACACCCTTATTTTTTAATGGACTGGAGTTTTTGACAATAATGGTCATGTTGACAAGTATCTCCCTGTTAAGTCCAGTGCTTAAATTTTTATTAGACACCTGTTTTCTGTTAACGAACAAGCATTGCATAACCATCCTATCCCATGATTTACTAAATAAACAGTTCGTCAATGGGTCTACTTTATAGCCTGTTTGATCACTAAATTTTGTAAGTGACAGTTACATTATTTGTATTCCTGATTATTACTCTGCCGCTAAATGTTCTTTTAACCAGTCATTTAATCGTAGTCGTTTGAGACGCTTTTACCACAATTATTATCAACAACCAACAGTTATACATAATAAGTTGTTCAAAAGTAATTCATGGGTTAATAAGGAGACAGCCCTTTACCTGTTTCTGTTTAAATGAGTAAATAATGGCATGAACTTGAGACAGTATGTATGGCTTAGAATCAAAACACATATGTACATATAGAGGCCACGCAACAAGTCTTAAGTGCGCGATTTGGGTCTGCATAATGAATAATCAAAACAATACTTCATAAGTTACGCCGTAAATATTACTTAGAACAAGGTTTTATTTATGTACTTTCTAACGAAAGTACAAATTAATCAGGTTTTGAGTATTCAAAATAATTGTTCCCACCTCAATAATAACTAGTGATGGTACACATATCAGTAGCTGTGAGCTCCACACATAGGAACAAGAATGATAACCATGATGCTAACTGCGATAGTGATATGTAATATATAGTTATTAGTTATTTTGTCTGTTACTGAATATTAGGCGATTTTCAAACGAAAAGCACCTAAAACCTATAAAAATACGAGAGTTGCGACTTTCATATATATTCGTGTAAGTATTAAATGACAATAAGACAGAGGCTGAACAGCCTGAACAGAGTACGCTAAGTGAATCAAGACAACTTTTACACTGATTAAAATGATTACTTCAGCTTTGTATCACATTAGAAGCTACAAGTCTAACGTTTAAGATTATAAGATGCGGAAAGTCGGTTGTCAGGCTATCTATACTACTACATAGCCTAACGCTAGTCAGCAAGAGATAATACTAACTCATTCCATATCTATTCCTCAACTTCCCCTAGCCTATTTAGAATTAAACTGATTTCATATGCCGTGTAGCAACTCCGACCGATGGACTCCAGTGGATTGTGTTTGGATGCTTATGCTTATATTGAATATCTAAATAATAAAAATAATAATAATAATATAACTAGCCCATTTACTAAATACTTAAGAACAAGTCAAGCTGTGTGGGAACTAATGATGTTACTCGGTTGGCCAAACCGAAGTACGAGGAGCGGAGGTTGACTTAATGGTTGAAAGTCGTAAAATTGAACTACAAAACTACCGCTCCAATGAATATTTTGCCATGAGTGAATAGACAAGTAATCAAACAATCACTCATCGAAGCATTTTATCTTCGGCCAAAAAAAGTGGCGAGGCTATAATTTATGGACGAACCAATCACGTACAAGATAGCAGGTCGTGGATTTTGGAGCGAAATTCACTCATCCAGTTGGATAAATAGAGTTTTGGCATTATAGCTGACGTCAGTTCGTGATGAAAACCCGAAATCTAATTCCTAATCTTAATCATCAACTGTAAATTAGAACTATAATTCCTCGCATAGGTTTATACCCCTCATCTAGTCCTAGTTATTAAGTAGACACTCTAAATGTCAGTCTAGCGTCGCTCAAAGGTCGTCCATTAACTATAGTCTCACCAGGTAAATATATGTTAAAAAGGTGAACCAACCTTAGAATCAGCGAAGGCCAACCAACGAACCCCAAGCGAAGAAGGTACACTTTTCGGCAAGAGATCTGGCCAAAGTGTTGATTTTACATCTTAAAAATGTTTGTTAGAAAAAATAACCTACATGCTATCGTATAGAGTTCTGTAAGAGTTAGTGCTGAGAATACTGTTATTGAATCAGTTCGTGTTACTACAACAAATCTAATAGATGATACATCGAATTAAGTGAACCTACCTGTCGTTTGCATCTACTGAGAGCGCTTTCGACTCTAAGTAATACGACAAAACTACTTTGCGATTGCACAAAGAAATAAACCGCACCTGCCAATGAGAAGATGCACAACTACACCAAAATGCGATGTCAAAACCAAGTTCTTACCTGAAAGTATCACAGATAGCCATAAGAGGCCTGCTGGAAAACAAGGAATCACCAGTATCTTAAATACAAGACTAATTAAATTAAAAACACCTACGTGAAGGAGTAGGGAGCAGCTTAAGGTCTATTGTACATGTATTTCTCTCTGCATACAGTAGGGTAGCATTACCACCAAACTAAGATGTTAGGTTAAAGAAGAAAATTACCGAAATTCCCCATATGTATGATCCTTTACAAGTGACTAGAGATAAAACAGTAGAGTAGGCGGGGTTACATCCTAAGAACTTTAATTTGGGAGACATATCAAACTTACTACTTGCGTCACATTCCTCAAATTTCACGCTAAACACCTGTTCTGTGGAGCCACAAGTACGATAATGATTCCTGGGCATATAATCACTTAGAGCACCCATAACACTGGTAACAAGATTCCTCTCACTAGACAAATAAGAACTAGTAGGGCTTAAGTCTACCTGGACTTTTCTGGAGACACATGAACAAATGGCTGCATTATGTACATATAATGAAGTATCAGTAAGCCAAACAAACTACAGAAGCACAGTTACATATTCCAAAATACAAGAAAACCTTGACAGCCAAGTGACCTTGGGTACTAAAGCAAGTGACTCAAGGCCAACCAGTCCAATACATACATAACCTTGTAATATTTTATTGAAATCCAGGTGGCGAACTAAATCATTACCAAATCCGAACTTATTCTACGTGCTTTCCTCTCCACTGTTGTTCTAATTCACACATTGTCTCAAACACGCTGGCCATCAAGCATTTACGGCACGCAACCTACCTTAAAACTAGACTCAAATCCACAAGACATTGAAGGCTTCATAAGTAACATACAAAGTTACTTCTCTTGCTCGTTTCATGAGACGATCGAAACACACAGAAACATAAAAAGCAATTTTTGACTCTGAAAAAGCGTCCTTGACCAACAGTATTATCATATTTTCCCACATCCCGTTCAGTCACTGAACCTTTACCCTTTAGGGTACAGACGTCTCATATAGGGCAGTGATTTAGTTAGTGTTGTGATTATTCTTGCTTATGTGTACTTTTTGCAGCAAAAAGCATGCTTGGTCTAATTTAACTCGAAGTATTTAGATTAGGGTTTGAAATTTTGCCAAACTTTGCCTTGTAGTAGCTTCTTTCTCATTAAATCCGACACTTGAAATTCATATTGTGATCGAATGGTGTTTTAAACCTTCTTAATCTAATAGCAATGTTTGGTAGTACTTATAAATGTGGACAGCCAAACTGTTTACTCCCCGTGGAGGAAGGAATGTGATGTGGTGAGTGTGAAAAGTGATTCCATGAAATGTGTACCCGTTTACATCCGACGGCATAAAAAAGATGCTCAAGGCTAAACTCTCAATGGCCTTGTGTGTTTCGCTGTACGAATAAGACGTCACTGATCCAGGAGGCTATGAGCCTATTAGCTTCGGTCTAAAAAAAGAAAGATTAAGATTGCGCTGGTAACATGGGTACTGACAGTGAAGAATGTGCCAATGTAGTACGTGCTTTTACGGGGCTCCTTAAGCACCCGACTGTTGTTAAGGAACTATAAAGATTTTGGAGTCATACTAAGCAGAGACCTCAAATCTATGGGTAACTCTCAGGCTGCTGCTGTAAAAGGCTAAGGTCTATTCGTAGGTCTTTTCAGTATTTGGATGAAGAAACGTTTAGATTATTATACCCGACTTTCGTGAGACCTCATTTTGGATATGGGTCATTCTTGTTCAACCACCCTACTGACTACGGTGGACAGATGGACAACCATCCTTGATCGCAAAGGGAAGGTTGACGTCATTTATCCAAGAAGGGTCCTCCAGGGTTCAGTACTAAGACTTCTCCTTCTCTTGATTCATATAAAAGATCTTTCACAACAGGAATCGCCTGATTTATTGCTTTTTGAGATTATTTGAAACAGTGGAGACAGATACGCAACCAAGACGATATACAAGCACTCTTCAGGAGGATCTGACTCGAATTGAAAGTTGAGCAGACGGCAACGGACTTAATTTTAACACTTCGAAGTGTAAATTAGTCCATCTGTGACGTGTCGCAGACTACAGTTACAACTTAAGAGACTCTTCTCTAGAAGTACCGCGAGTTGAAAAAGATTTATGAGTATTTGGTACGCTACTATTTGATGTCTTACGCTAACTGTTTCAAAAATACATTTCGAGCAAACCTTGCACTGGTAACATTGAGGCGCATTTTTGGCCAGTTTGACGGTAGAAGTTTCTACATAATCCTCAACAATTTTATTCGTCCCAATGTAGAATACGGAAACATAGTATTTCCCTCCTCCTTCCAAAAGGATAAAGACACTCTGGAGCACATCCGACGGCGAGCCGTGAAATCAGTTGGGGGAATCAAATTCAAGTCTTATGAAAAAGGCCTTCACCCATTAAACATTTACTCATCATACTATAGAATTGATCCACTGCTGCTAGATGCGGAAGCCCGTTAAGCGGTTTCTCCTATTCCGTCCACAACCAACTGAACCATTTGAAGTAGCGAGTCCTTGTTTCAAGTATGGAACGATGCCAACTACGAGAGACTAAGACGGTTAAAGGTCTGTCTTGCTTGTCTTATGAGGACAGACTGAGACACCTCAATTTATTTCTGTTATCTTATCGTATTATACGCTGTGATCCAATGTTGGCTTATCGTATGCTGGACCATGACCTTGGTATGAATATGTCTTGTCTTTCCCTTCCGTCTAGGACTGATCATTTGAGAGGAAATCCGAAGGAAAATCAAAAACTTAGATCAAATCTTCTACACCTGGAGTTTCGTTTCTCTCACCGAGTATTGAATTACTGGAACTCCTACCAGAACATATAATATCAGCACCTTATGTTGATATATTCAAAAAGACATTAAACTTCTATAGTGTTAAAAACTGCAAGGATTGGTTTAGACCCTTTTCCTTGTTACTGAAGACAAAGGAATTAAGTAATTTTTGTCCAGTTTGACGGAAGAACTTTCCACACAATCTTCAATAGTTTCATCCGTCCCCATTTAGAGTACGGAAACATAGTACTCCCTCCCTCACTCCAAAAGGACAAGGTCACTTTGGGGCGTATCCAACGGCGAGCCACGAAATCAGTTCGAGGGCTCAAATCTAAACCCTACGAAGAACGCCTCCATTCACTAGACCTTTACCCACTAGAATATAGGCGTCTTAGAGGTGATTTATTAATGGCTTATAGTATTCTTAACACTTCTGGACATCCTCTTAAACACCTACTTAAGCTTAGTTCGAATAATAACCTAAGGGGTAACACCCAGAAACTGGAAACACAACATAGCAAGACGGAATGTAGACACAACTTCTACTCTTTAAGAGTTGTCAAAAGCTGGAATTCGCTGCCGGCCGAGCTAGTCCAAGCGACTTCTCAGGAGTCCTTCAAGAGGCAACTTGACCTATTCTTAAGGACCAAGGACAGCATCACACTATGATTTACCAATTTCTTTTCCTCTTTTTTTTGTTAACATACCTAGGTTCTTGCCTGGAGGATTTTGTGATCCCCTGCTACTAGACACGGAAGCCTGTTAAGCGAAAGCTTCTTCTATTCCGTCCACAACCATTTGAACCATTTGAACCATTTGAAGGTTTATGCGGGCCAATTGGAGGTGACGGTACATGGTTTTACAGGGGTTCTTCCGTTGTATCTACTTATATTCGATGGACTTTAATTTTTCGCACAGTAAGCGTTTGGAACTTACATCCACAAATTTGTTAAAAAGTCTTCTACCATCGTGTGATATTTTGAGTGTATTCTTCTACAGGTTTCTTACATGATAGTTAAAATGTAAAAATTGACTGCGTTGTTGATAATAAAGACTTACGTTTGTCCATAGATAGTTTGGTTTTCAACGTATCGAAAGTAAATCGGATTTTAGTTTTACTCGATATGGGGTGAATATACTTCCATACATCAACGGGTGTGTCTTGCTACTGCATTTGATAGATTTATTTATTTATTTGAACACAAATATTAATACAAATGGGCACTTGATACTGGATACATATACGTAACACATGTCAAATGATGTGTGTGGGCTATGATACTACCCGAGTGCCCAAATCCAAGCAGGCATTTGATATGTGATACGAAGTACCCAAGAACAGTGAAGCAAATTAAGATGAAATGCGCCAAAATGTTTACTTTGTCACCTGCATTAGGGGGACAGTATGAATTCTCTTTAATTTACTCTTGGACGAGAAACGTCTCAGAATTTGCAGCAAATAGTTTACATTCCTGCTAAACAAGTACTCGCAAGACCATCTACTGCTAGCCCTTGTTCCTTCAAGGAGACAGACTTTTCTACACAGTCGATCGAACTTAGAGATATGGTATGTGTTTTAAAAGACGTATATTTACGAAAGTCGTAATCACAATCCACAAGATACAGATCTATAAATATCACCTTTAGAAAACCATACATCTTATGAATAACTGATTAGCACATAAATATGCCTACGTTACTAGAAGGGAATGTTTCAGTGGGGTCATAGGAAGACCTAGACCCGGCGCTTTCACCAAGTTGGTCGATATGGAGCATCCAACTGGTGGAGTTGGAAAACCTTGATTCCAAACCAGTGGTGCACATAGGCCTCAGGATCCTGAGGGAATAAATGGCGTATGGACCAATTATCGGCCACCGACCACCATGGGACTGCATCTCATGACGTCGCTCCACTGCCTTGTGGATCTGACATTTAGGTCGAAAAATTCGAGTGTGGCCCCCTAAGAAAACCACCTGCTTCCGTCTGGGCACCCGGTCAGTATCACACCCCATACACAAATCAAGTGACTTGTGTTGAGCATATGTATACGGTGCCCCTTGTACCAATATTTATGTGTTCAAATAAATAAATAAAAACAGCGTTACGCAGGGATTTTTTCTGTAACAGGCTGCAAGCTAGAGATATCATGGCTACGAAACAAACCATGGTCAACCATGATTCTAAGAAACATGTTATTATGTGCATAGCGATCAAGCTGAAAGCACAGTAATAGTGCAAGGCAAGCCTGGACTGATTACTGATATAGGCAATAACAGATTAATCAAGTCTAGGTCTTCCTATGACCCCACTGAAACATTCCCTTCTAGTAACGTAGGCATATTTATGTGCTAATCAGTTATTCATAAGATGTATGGTTTTCTAAAGGTGATATTTATAGATCTGTATCTTGTGGATTGTGATTACGACTTTCGTAAATATACGTCTTTTAAAACACATACCATATCTCTAAGTTCGATCGACTGTGTAGAAAAGTCTGTCTCCTTGAAGGAACAAGGGCTAGCAGTAGATGGTCTTGCGAGTACTTGTTTAGCAGGAATGTAAACTATTTGCTGCAAATTCTGAGACGTTTCTCGTCCAAGAGTAAATTAAAGAGAATTCATACTGTCCCCCTAATGCAGGTGACAAAGTAAACATTTTGGCGCATTTCATCTTAATTTGCACCAAATTTATATCAAGAATATCGCCTCAGTTTAATTTTTCCTGTTTAGTTTTGGATAGGTTTACAGGCGAAATAGGGTTTTTACAGAACGAAAATAAAAAATGAACATTCAAATATACTATGCAATTTCG